TGGATGTTCGTCCAACATTCTTAAATATTATCGCTTGTTTCAGAGCGTTCAGAGAACATTCAAACGTAACATTTCCACAATGTTTGCAAAATGATACAAAGAAACGTTCCCTTAAAATACATTGTTAAAATATTAAAAAAAATAAAGAAACTGGATATTTTGAATATTCAAGGAACATGCAAATAATGTTTTCATATTTTCATAATCAAAATGTTCATAGAACATATGTGACCCTGGAGCACAAAAGCAGTGTTAAGTCGCTGGGGTATATTTGTAGCAATAGCCAACAATACATTGTATGGGTCAAAATTATAGATTTTTCTTTTATGCCAAAAATCATTAGGATATTAAGTAAAAGTCATGTTCAATGAAGATATTTTGTAAATTTCCTACCGTAAATATTTCAAAACTTTATTTTTGATTAGTAATATGCATTGCTAAGAACTTCTTTTGGACAACTTTAAAGATGATTTTCTCAATATTTTGTTTTTTTGCACCTCAGATTCCAGATTTTCAAATAGTTGTATCTCAGCCAAATATTGTCCTATCCTAACAAACTTGACCCTTATGACTGGTTTTGTGCTCCAGGGTCATATATTTTGTTAGCTGGCCACATATAAGACTGTAGTTTCTCAACTTTCTTCTGAAGGATATGACTTGTTAAATAACACCGAGTAAACATGGCAAAAATGGGCGTTCCTGCCCTGTTTAATGGGGTGTACTGGCATGCATTTTGGCCGAATAAATAGTTAAAACATCTGGTTTTCATAGATAAATAAGCTCTTACTATTATAGCAAGTGCTTTTGTTGAATGTGGGCGCTGGCATCTGATCCATCCTGGCATGCTCAGATGTAGGTCAGGCTCTTTCTACGGATGCTATCGTGTCACGACGTGTTGCAGGGAGCGTTTCATCATGATGTCCACATCAGCATATGTACACGCTCCTCATCTGTCATGTGTTTCTGATCAAACAGGAGATAACAGGACGGCGTTTCATCTCCTCGCTCATACATCGTGTTTGTGTCCTGATCAGGGTCTGCTGAAAGACGAGATGAATGAGCTGAAGTGAGGGAAATCAAGCACAATCCACAGGTAAGTGTGTGACGTCACGTCTGCTGGAACTCATTCAGACACAGACGACAGAAACAGGCTTCAGTTTTAATGTTAGTTCATTTCATGTATTCAAAAAAAAATATTGATATTTATTTACTGGTTTATTATTTACTGATATTTATTTACTGGATATACATATATATATATATATATATCATTTATTATATATTTTTTTACTAAAAAATAATTTCTGGTAAATTTCAAAACTTCAAAAACCATTCTCCATCTTTTCTGTTCTGCATTATAATAGTTTCATTCCTGATTTTTAAAGCATGTGTAATTCTAGATTTTAATATCCAGCATACACTTTTATATTTAAATATAACATAAAAACAATTAGTGAGTAAAATTTCTCTGTCAGTGCATCCATGCATTTGAACTGTTTTATTGAACAAATATGGATATAGTTCAGACATAAAGTTTTCTTACAGAAATGACATTCTTCACCGTTCAATATTAATATTTGAGGAAAGTGCCAGAAATGCTGGAACTATTTTATAATTATTATTATTATTTTGCAAACAGACTTTATACTTAAACATAATGGATAAAAAAGTCCCCTGGCAGAATGAAACAGATTTTCATGCATTTGTATGCTTTATCTTGTTGTTTCACTTATTTATTGCTCACTGTTGAATGTTCACTAGTGAGCAGATATTGACTGACAGCTTTCACAAGCACTGTGTTGTATATGGAAATCCGCTGGCTTGTGTTTGTGCAGCTTTAGTTCATGTACAGTATGTACAGTATGTTGAAAGATCTGAGCTGGAACCTTTAGTGTTGATTATAGCGGTCACTATTGTGTTAGATGTGTCTGCTAATGCAGGTCTGAATCATATAGAAACAGACTCTTTATCCGCTATTAAATAACAGATGATTTGACTGAACACATTAGCAACCGCAGGTTTTTATAGTTTAACAACATCAAACACAACAACATCAAAGGACAACTAAAACAGTAATGCTCAGCTGAGAGCGGAGTTCAGTGCATATGTTTACAAAACCCCTGACGAATCTGCAGGATGTTTATTATTATTATTATACATTTTTAAAAAGAGAGGCATCATAAATATGCATGTTGTTTTTATTTGATATTTACATACAGAAGACACAATCATACCTGACATGACAAACAATAGACAATATTTCACTCAAAAAAAAAAAAAAAAAAAATTGCATAAAAAGAATTTTTGGCATTATGTGCAACATTTTTTTTAAACATTATTTTATAATAATTAAGCGAAAATATCAGACAAAAGTGATATATTTGATATTATAGTTCACAGCATTTGACTGCATAGATATATTGTATAATATTGTAATAAATTTCTATTTTTTATGTTATTATGTAATTATACATAGTCACTATAAGTGAATCTCACAAAAAAAAAACATGTCCAGATCATATTTCACGCCCAAAAAATATTGCATAAAAAATATATATTTGCATTATTTGTAGAACTTATTGACATTATTTTTTATGATAATTAATGAAAAATATCAGACAAAAAATGATATAGTTGATATTATAGTGCATAGCATTTGACTGCATAGATATATTGTATACATTTAACATTATTATGGAATTATTATATGTTGCCACCAGGTGGTTGAATCTCACAAAAACATGTCTAGATCATATTTCACGCCAAAAATCAAAAGAAAAAAGATTGCATAAATATATATATAAATGTGTGTGTGTGTGTGTATATATATATACACACACACACACACACACACACATTTATTATATTATTTATTATTATGCATTATTCACAGAACTTATTGACATTATTTTTTAATGATAATTAAGGAAAAATTATATAGTTGATATTATAGTGCATATCATTTGACTGCATAGATATACTGTATATTATAGTAATAACATTCTATTTTTAACATTATTATGTAATTATTATATATAGTTACTAGGTAGGTGAATCTAAAAAAATATTAATAATTTAAAAAATAAATAAATTATTGCTTAACTTTTCAACAGGAAGATTTTTTGATATTCACTCTTGTGGGAAATGTATAAATATCTCATGTAGCTTCTGAAGGGCAGTACTAAATAAGAAATAGCAGCTTTTATGATTTGTATTAATTCTGCTAGGGTTTCGTAAACTTGTTCCCGTTTACTTCATGCATCAGGACGGATGTTGAGGGTCACAGAAGGACACGAGGGAAAACTCTAACGGAGGAAATATCTGAAAAGTGAACAGAAGTCGATATGCATCTGTTCAGAAAGACACGGCTGGTGACATTTCCCCGCGGCGATCATGATTGATCGAGTTAACGCAGAGCAGAGTCGACAATACTGTTATATGAGTCAATACAGTAAAAGTATAGAGCTATACAATAGATTGAACCTTCAGACAAAATCTAAAATAAAATCTGTGCATATGTTTTCATATTTGATCCATCAGGGTTTTATGGCTCATATAATCTGATATAGTGAGAATATGGAGGAAAAAACAGCTCAGTTTTATTCAGAGACAAAAATATGCAATTTGGTGCAGAAGCAAAAACATAAGGCAAAAAGAAAAAAAAAACAGTGAACCATTTCACTGCATAGATATATTGTATATTCCAGTTATACAATTCTATTTTAACATTGTTATATAATTATTATATGTATATTTCACTCCAAAATCAAAAGAAAAATAAATTAAATATATATTTTTTTGCATTATATGACAATTAAGCAAAAACATCAGGCAAAAAATATAGATAGCTGATATTAGTGCAAAGCATTTCACTGCATAGATATATTGTATATTCCTGTAATACAATTCTATTTTCAAAACTATTATGAAATTATTATATAAAGCCACTAGGTGGTTAAATCTCACAAAAAACATTTCCAGATCATATTTCACTGCAAAATCAAAAGAAGAAAAAAAAAAAGAAGAAATACACGGACGCACGCACGCACGCTCTCTCTCTCTCTCACACACACTCACTCACTCACTCACTCACTCTCTCTCTCTCTCTCTCTCTCACACACACACACACACACACACACATATAATTATTCTTTATATATTTATTTTTAATATTTTTTTATTAAATGTTTTTTATTTAATAAAATTTTGATAACTTTTGATGTAAATCAGTGAGATCTTTATAACAGTGCAGCAGATACTGAAATGCTCCAAACATATAATGCAGTGATTGAGAGCTGAAGAAATAAAGGCTCCTCAGAAGATGTGAGATGTTCTGGAGGCTTGTGAAGATCATTCCTCCGCTGAGGAACAGTGAAAGTAAAGCTTCTGGAAACAAACGCTCCTCAAAAGATCCTGAGGATCAGATTTGAGACTCTAAAACATGATTGATGGAGAATCAAGTAAAGCTGAGCTGCTTCAGTCCAGTAAGTGTTCATCTGGAGATATTACTGCAGTTATTCTGACCTTTACTTGATCAAAATCAGTCAAGATTTGACACGAGAAGCTCGAGCTGAAGCTGGACGTTTCTACAATTACACTAAAAGAGCTTTGACTGGAGAAAAACTCTAAACTCTCAATCAGAGACAGAAGACATGCAGGAGATCGAGTGAGAAACAGCAAAGTCTGATAATTTAGAGGCTTTAGAAAATATAATACAGTGGCTTTATAGGTTTATAAACATCTCTTTATGGGTTTTTCCTTCCCACAGGCTTACCCAGAAACATCTGACCACTCTCATTGACCTCAATCAAACCCACAGCAATACTGATCCACTCACTAGTAGTTTGGTTCTCATGGTTCACTAAACATGCATTAGTGAAGAACTCTATCTACGACTGTCTCTCTTTAGTATCCGTGTAACCAGACGCTCTCAGTCTCAGGTTTAAATGCGTCCGGAGTGTGTTTTTGACCTGCTTTAGGAAAGGGGCGTGTCCTCAGGTGTCAGATTGACAGCTCCGCCCCTCCTTCAGTCGAGTTTTGACGGCTGTTGTGTTTTCTTCAGAGCGTGTCGTGAACTCGAGTGCATGGCTCTGCTGTCGTGTCATGATGGGACAGACTCTTGTTTCCTGCAGGCTGTCAGGATGTTCCAGAGGAAGAAGAAGAAGAAGAAGAAGAGGAGGAGGCTGGAGATCTCCACACCCAGGAACTTCGAGCACAGGGTGCACACGTCCTTTGACTCGGTGCAGGGCTGTTTCGTGGGTCTGCCGACCCAATGGCAAAGCCTCATAGAAACACTCAGGAGACCCAAACCTGTGGTGGACCCCTCCAGCATCACGCAGGTGCAGCTCAAGCTGCAGAGGGTAAAGCTCATTATTTTTATGACTGTTAAGCAAAACTATAAGGCAAAAAATTACAAGCTGAATAATAATGTTTTATTATATAATTATTATATATAATCTCTTGATGAATCTCACAAAAACATGTCCAGATTCAAAATCAACAGGAAAAAAAGTCAATATGAAAATTATATATTTGCAATATTTGCAGAACTTAGTGACGTAAACATAAGGGAAAAAATATACATTTGATATTATAGTGCATAGCATTTCACTGCAAGGATATATTGTATATTCTAGTAATAAAATTATATTATTAACATTATTATGTAATTATTATATAGTCACTAGGTTGGTGAATCTCATAAAAACATTTTCAGATCATATTTCACTCAAAAATATAAAGAAAAAAGGTATTTAGATATTGCTTAAAGAAAGTTATGTATTTTTTCACGTTATTTGAAAGATTTTTTGGCATTATTTTTATGAAAATTAAGCAAAAATAATATATAGGCAAAAATGATATAGTGCATTGCATTTGAATGCATAGAAATTCCTGTAATATTTCCTGTAATATATTCCTGTAAAATTCATGTACACACTCACACGCTCGCTCGCACGCACGCACTCTCACACACACACACACACACACACACACACACACACACACTCACACTC